CAGGAACCAATTAGTGGAGTGTAACTGTTGGAGCGGCTCTGGTTAATAACCGCTCCAGTGCCATTGACAGCCCATCTGCCCCCACCTACATTTCCAGCCGGACAGATGGAGACGAGGATGAGGCTTCATGGATAATTCACACATTCCCTGGAGAAGCGTGTGGAGACTCAGGTCAATGCATGGAGAGACAGACTCCAGTAAGGAAAGATGCACTTCATTGTGTAACTGGATTCCCCTCATAAATATTCATGAGAGCTCCACAACTGAAGATTTTATTGGACGCTGGCAGTTCACCTCACTATAATTCATGCTGCACTATTAGAAATATCCGTATATTAATAGTTTGATATTTTTTGTGATTCATGTTTTTATTTTTCCCATTTATTTATGGTTTTGAGTTGCATTATGGGATCTTGAGCTTTCTTCCAGCAACTTTTAATCTTGAAAAGTTCTAAAAAAGTGACTTTTATGAACATGTTTAATAGTTTGCAGTGCTATATTGTCTGTGTTGGTGTCATGTTACACTACAAACACCTTGCAATAAGCTGCCAGTGCATTTTCTGTTATTTTACACACTTATTTCTCTAGATATTATTTCTTATACATTATATTATTGTTTTAAACTACTAAAATGTCAATAAAAGTCATTTTGTTAAGCTGTAGAGTTGAATTTTCAACATCAAAAGTCGACAAAGCAAAGATCAACATCCCATAATGCAATTCACAACCAAAAATTCATGTTCATTAACAGATATTTACAGTACATTCAACACTTACCTGACCTTTATTTTTGGCAAACTTGCTTCTGAAAGTATTTTTCCATAGCAAAGTTGTTTCAGAGATTTAATAAAGCAGCAGAATTAGTATTTTTTTTGTCTTTTACATTTGATGCACTTGGTAGACACTTTTATCCAAAGCCGCTTTATTTATTTTTAGTTCTTGCTTTTCCTTGGAATCGAACCTACTGTGCAACCTTAATATTTTACCACCGCAGTACATTACAGTTTGAGCTATGGGAATATTAAATAATATTTTTGTCTTGACAACATCATTCATTCATTTTCCTTTAGCTTAGTCACCTTATTAAATCGGGGGTTTTATCCAGCATTACACAGCAGATACCCTTTGAGCTGCAACCCAGTACTGGGAAACACCCATGCACTTTCAAAAACACTCATACACTACGGCCAATTTAGTTTATTTAATTCACCTATAGAGCATCTGTGTTCATCTGTGTTCATCACCTTGATGAAACCCTCGCCAACACGAGGAGAACATGCAAACTCCACACAGAAACGCCAACTGACCCAGCAAGGATCTGAACTAGCAACCTTCTTGCTGTGAGGCCACAGTGCTAATCACTGAGCCACCGTGTTCCCCCAACATCATTCAAGACAAGTTAACTCTGAACAGACATTCTATTAATGTTTACATTACACCACCACCACCAGCCTGAACTGATGATACAAGGCAGGATGGATCCATGCTTTCATGTTGTTGATGCCAAATTCTGACCCGACCATCCGAATGTGTCAACAGAAATGAAGACTCATCAGAGCAGGCAACCTTTCTCCAATCTTCTATTGTCCAGTTTTAGTGAGCCTGTGTGAATTGTAGCCTCAGTTTCCTGTTCTTAGCTGACAGGAGTGGCACCCGGTGTGGTCTTTTGCTGCTGTAGCCCATCTGCCTCAAGGTTGGAGGTGTTGTGTGTTCAGAGATGCTCTTCTGCAGACCTCGGTTGTAACGAGTGCTTATTTGAGTTACTGTTGCCTTTCTATCAGCTGAACCAGTCTGGCCATTCTCCTCTGACCTCTGGCATCAACAAAGCATTTGCGCCCACAGAACTGCCGCTCACTGGATATTTGCTTTGTTTTGGACCATTCTCTGTAAACCCTAGAGACGGTTGTGCATGAAAATCCCAGTAGATCAGCAGTTTCTGAAATACTCAGAGAAGTCCATCTGGCACTAACAACTATGCCACGTTCAAAGTCACTTAAATCCCCTTTCTTCCCCATTCTGATGCTCGCTTTGAACTGCAGCAGATCGTCTTGACCATGTCTACATGCCTAAATGCATTGAGTTGCTGCCATGTGATTGGCTGATTAGAAATTTGCGTTGGACAGGTGTACCTAATAAAGCGGCCGGTGAGTGAATATATATGTGAAAGGACTAAATAATACCTAGCTTGGTAGCTACTTAGTGGTTCAGGTTAGCAATGAATAAATTCGTATTTTGGTCTAATTATACGCTGTGAAACTGTGAAGTAAATGCAGAAATTGACCAGTTGTCTGTGAAATTTGCACATCAATATGACAACAGCACTGATCAATAAGGTGCTTCTGCAGTTTGGTGGGTTTGGTCCTCTGTCATCCATCTCTATGTTCTCTGCATTAAAGCGAGCATGGGGGAGTATATGAGCTATTAAACCAGGTTAATCACTGCTATCGATTCACTGTTAAACAAAACAGACAGAAGGTGCATTAATGTCTCAGGAGGCTTCTGCTAATGATGGCCACTCTGCTTGTGTCATTATTATCTAATTGCCTCAATAAGGCCTTATCCATTGTGGCCAAGATGTAGGAGGGTGTGTGTGTGTGTGTGTGTGTGTGTCGGAATGGATTTGATAAAGCCGCATTATCTCCAGCCCCTCCAGCAGAAGCTTTTACAGCAGAAAGTTTGTCTTCTCGTGCTCTTCTTCTTCATCCTCCACTGCTGTGTGCAGATGCTGATAAAGCCTGCTATTGTCATCCATACATTACCAGCTCAACTGAGCCACAATGGTTGCCCTGGTTACAGCGGTCGACTTTACCCAGGCAGAAGGTGCAGGTTTCCTGTGTTTACCTCCTTCACATGACTTACACTAGAGCAACACACTTCAACACAAACACCATACACTGCATTTACATCGGTACAGAGGAGAACTGGTCGTGCACTGCTGAGCTTGTTTTTTTTTCTCTTCACTTTCGTCAATCGGTTAAGTGTGTTCCTTGCCACTGGTGAACTTGTATTGTTAGTTTTGCTCTTCGGTGTTTGGGCTTTTCAGCATTGACATTTACATTAGAGGCGAGGCAGTGGCGCAGTAGGTAGTGCTGTCGCCTCACAGCAAGAAGGTCGCTAGGTCGAACCTCGGCTCAGTTGGCGTTTCTGTGTGGAGTTTGCATGTTCTCCCTGCGTTCGCGTGGGTTTCCTCCGGGTGCTCCGGTTTCCCCCACAGTCTAAAGACGTGCGCTACAGGTGAATTGGGTAGGCTAAATTGTCCGTAGTGTATGAGTGTGTGTGTGAATGTGTGTGTGGATGTTTCCCAGAGATGGGTTGCAGCTGGAGGAGCATCCGCTGCGTAAAAACTTGCTGGATAAGTTGGCGGGTCATTTGGCTGTGGCGACCCCGGATTAATAAAGGGACTAAGCCGACAAGAAAATAAATGAATGATTGAATTTACATTAGACTGAACCAAAGACTATAGAATTCACAAGACATGTCACTCGTATAGTTTTAGAATGAGGAATGGTGTAACGGTCGATATGAAGCCCCGCCTGCTAGTACAAGAGCCAATCATCAATTGCTAAAGACTGACGATTCTGCGGAGAAGGGGATCAGACCAGACGTATGCTTTTAAGACAGTTTCTGCAGCTTCATTACAAGTTTATTATAGTTAACAAAAACGAATGACAAAACAAAAAACTAAAATGTCAAATAATTGTCGTTAACTGAAATAAAAACAAAATAATATAAAAATATTAAATATTTTAAATATTTTAAATATAAAATAAAAACGAGAGAGGTTTTAAAAAAAAACTAGAACTAACTGAAACTGTATTTTGTACACTCAAAACTAACTGAAACTATCTAAAATTATATCAAAAACCTCCTTTGTTTTGGTCTTTTCGTCTTCGTATTTAATACATAATCTTACCGTAAGCCTTTTAGAAGTAAATCTAATTCGCGCTCAGAGTCTGTAATCTTGCCAGGATCTTGCTGGTTTATTGTGGGTTTGTTGTTTACATGAAGACATCTGTGTTACAAGTTCAACAAAAATTCTAATAAGCAATTATATTTTGAATTTAAATAGTTTTTGTCTTGCGTTTACACTAATTTTACATTTAAATAGCCACAATTACAAGTTTCAGTCTTTTAAATGTGATCAATCGCGATTAATAAAAAAAAAAAGTGTGATTAATTTGTATTTTTTTTTATCGATTGACAGCACTACTTTATTTATTCATTCATTTTCTTGTCGGCTTAGTCCCTTTATTAATCTGGGGTCGCCACAGCGGAATGAACCGCCAACTTATCCAGCAAGTTTTTACACAGCGGATGCCCTTCCAGCCACAACACATCTCTGGGAAACATCCACACACACTCATACACTACGGACAATTTAGCCTACCCAATGCACCTGTACCGCATGTGTTTGGACTGTGGGGGAAACCGGAGCACCCGGAGGAAACCCACGCGAACGCAGGGAGAAAATGCAAACTCCACACAGAAACACCAACTGAGTCGAGGTTCGAACCAGCGACCCAGTGACCTTATTGCTGTGAGGCGAAAGCACTACCTACTGCGCCACTGCCTCGCCCTATTTATTTATTTATTTATTTATATATTTAAACTTTTTAGTGCAGTATGTCCATCAGGTTTTGGAACAGAATTTGAAATCTGTTTTTTAACACAGCAAGGCTACAGATATTATCGTTGTTTCAGTGTTCTGACTGCCAACTCACCTTTACCACCCACAGTCTTCTGGCATCATGACACTAAGGGAATATAAAGAGAGTTCCTGTGCTCCAGCGCCTCCTGCAGGCAGCACTGAAAACAAACGTTCTGCAGTTCAAACAAACATGCCAAACCATTTCAGAATTTAGATTTCCTGAACTCTTCAGGTCTTCGGTGTGGGATTTTGTTGACCTGTGAGAATCACTGCAGACCTGAAAGATTTCTCAATGATGTTTGATGGTGGAGACTGACCCGAGCTGAACTGAGCGTCCTCTATTACTCTGCAGGTATCCTGAAGAAGACATCCGGCAGAAGGTGGAGACGTTTCGCCAGATGCTGATGGAGAAGGAGGGAGTGATCACTAGAGAGGGATTCAACCCACGACCACCGTGAGTCCCATTTCACACACACACACACACACACACACACACACACACACACACACACACACACACACACACATGATGTTTGTCAGAAAGTGAGCTCACATCGATCCACTCTGATCTTATTTTAGGGAGTGTATTGAATAAAGTGTGTGTTTCCTGTGGCGACGGTATCATGTAACGTTTCTATGTGACGCTTTATTACTGTGATTAATGCTGATGCAGACCAGCACTGGCAGGATTCGCCCATGCTCTGAGTCTATAACCTGCTTTTAATAGGTACTAAAAATGAACCGCCAACTATTCCAGCATATGTTTTACACAGCAGATGCCCTTCCAGCCGCAACCCAGTACTGGCAAACACCCATAGACTGTCATTCACACACACACTCATACATTACAGCCAGTTTAGTTCATCAATTCCCCAATAGCGCATGTTTTTGGACTGTGAGGGAAACCGGAGCACCCGGAGGAAACCCACACGAACACTGGGAGAACATGCAAACTCCACAAAGAAATGACAGCTGGCCCAGGTGGGACTCGAACCAGCAAGCTTCTTGCTGTGAGGCCACAGTGCTGACCAAAGAGTTACCATGCCGCCCAGTCGCACTTTCATTTTGCAAATATTTATGTATTTACTAACATACCTGCCAACACTCCTGTTTCTCCCGGGAGTCTCCTGTAGTTCAGACCCATCTCCTGGATTGTTCTGTTCTTATTGAATTTGAATTTATTGAATGGGATAGCCCCTTTGAGATGAATCATCTCATTTTCAAAGGGGATCCCTAAAATATTCACAAATCAAACAGAGTACAACACATCATAAAGTACATACACTTGACAAGACAAACAAACAAGCAAGCAGCACACTCCACCTGAAACACTTCCCACAATCTGAAGCCTAAATAAGCAACAGCATATAAACAAAAGCTCTCTTGTGGGCTGTTGTATTTGAGTTTGAGGATGTGTAGATGGTTGTGGTAGATGATAGTGTTCATGTGTCCTCTAAATACAGGTTTCAAAAAATTTATGTCTTGAGTTTTTATTATACAATATTTATCCTGTTGATTTTGAATCTTGCACCTAACAAATACCCTCATTTAGAAAAAAACTAAAACTAATACTGAAACTAATAAAACTAAACTAAAACTAAATCATTTCAAAGTATAGAAACTAATAAAAACCTGCCTCTAAAACTAATTAAATCTGCCTCTAAAACTAATTAAAACTGACTGAATTTGAAAACAAAAAGGCAAAACGAAATAGAAACTAAAACTGATGAAAAATCCAAAACTATTATGACCAGAGGTGGGTAGAGTATCCAAAATATGTACTCAAGTAAGAGTACAAGTAACTGCCGAAAATTTTACTTAAGTAAAAGTAAAAATCTTAAAATTTACTCGAGTAAGAGTAAAAAAGTACCTTATGACAAAATTACTCAAGTAATTAGTTACTTAGTTACTTTTAATTTTATATAATTATATATATATATATATATATATA